AACAAAGATCACGGCATCTGGCCCCATCACTTCATGGCAAATAGAGGGGGAAAAGTGGAAATAGTGGCAGACTTTATTTTCTTGGGCTCCAAAATCACTGCAGCCATGAAATTAAAAGCTGCTTGCTCCTTGGAAAAAAGCTACAACAAACCTAGATAGCACATTAATAAGCAGAGACATCACTTTGCCAACAAACTTTCATCTAGTAAAAGCTGTGGTTTCTCCAGCAGCCATGCTACAGATGTGAGAGTCAGGCCATAAAGAAGGCTGAGTGCTGAAAAATTCATGCTTTCAAACTGTGATGCTGGAGAATACTCTTGAATGTCCCTTGGACAGCAAGGAGATCAAACTAGTCAATCCTAAAGGAAATCAACCCTAAATACTCATTGGAAGAATTGATGCTGAAGCTGAAGTTCCAATACTTTGGTCACCTGATGCAAAGAGCCGACTCACTGGAAAAGACCCTGATGCTGGGAAAGATTGAAGGCAAAAGGAGAAGGGGGCAACATAGGATGAGATGGTTGGATAGCATCACCATCCAATGGACATGAATTTGAGCAAATTCCAGGAGATAGTGAAGGACAGGGGAGCCTGGCATGCTGCAGTCCATGATGTCACAAAGAGCTGGACATGACTTAGCAGCAACTGAACAACAACACATATAGATGTATGTGTATGTGTGTGTGTGTGTGTGTGTGTGTGTGTGTGTATATATAAAGATTCCACACAGAAACCATTAGAACTGCTAAATGAATACAGCAAAGTAGTAGGATACAAGGCTAACATACAGAAATCAGTTGCATTTCTTTGTATCGACAATGAAATCAGAAGGGAATGTAAAAAAAAAAAACTTTCAAAATCACACCTCCAAAAATAAAATACTTAGGAATAAACCTGATCAAGGAAGTGCAGTTATATACTGAGAACTATAAATTATTGAAACTTAAGATGGTTCAAAAAATGGAAAGATATCTCATGCTCTTGGATTGAAATAATTCATATTATTAAAATGGCTATATTACCCAAAGCAATCTGCAGATTTAATGCTATCCCTATCAAATTACCCGTGACATTTTTCACAGAACCAGAATAAATAACTCTAAAATATGGAACCTTAAAAGACCCAGAATTGCCAAAGCAATCTTGAAGAAAAAGAACAAAGGTGGAGGCATAACCCTCCCAGACTTCAGACAATACTACAAAGCTATAGTAATCAAAACACAGTGGCACTGGCATAGGCACAAAACAGACATATGGATCAATGGAACAGAATAGATAGCCCAGAAATAAACTCACACACCTACAGTCAATTAATATTTGACATAAGAGGCAAGAATACATAGTGAGAAAAAGACAGTCTCTTCAGCAGGTGGTACTGGGAAAGCTGGGCAGCCACACACAAATCAACAAAGTTAGAACACACCCTCACACCATGCACAGAAATAAACTCAAAATTACTGAAAACTTAAATATAAAAGAAGACACCATAAAACTCCTAGAAGAGATTATGAGCCAAAACATTCTCTGACATAAATCATACCAATGTTTTCCCAGGTCAGGTTCCCAAGGCAAAACACACACACACACACACACACACACACACAAATAAATGAACAGAACCTAATCAAACGTAAAAGCTTTTGCACAGTAAAGAAAAAAAAAAAAGATAAAAACAAAAAGACATTGTACATAATGGGATAAAACATCTGCAAATGATGCGACTGACTAGGGCTTAATTTCCAAAAGATACAAACAGCTCATACTACTCAACAGCAAAAACAAACAACCCAACAGAAAAACAGGCATTAGACCTAAGCAGACAGTTCTCCATAGAAGAAATACAGATGACCAATAGGCACATGAAAAGATAGGCAACATCACCAGTGAGTAAATAAATGCACATCAAAACTACAATAGGGTTACCACCTCACACTTGTCAGAATTGCCATCATTAAAAAGTCTACAAATGACAAATGCTGCAGAGGATGTGGAGATAAGAGAATCCTCCCACCCTGTCGATGGGAATGTAAGTTGGTGAAAAACAGTATGGAGATTCTTCAAAAAACTAAAAACAGAATTACTATATGATCCAGCAATCTCATTCCTAGGCATTTATCCAGACAGAACTAATCCAAAAAGATAAATGCACCCACTATGTTCACAGAAGCACTATTTACAATAACCAAGACATGGCAACAACCTAAATGTCCATCAAAGAAGATGTGGTCCATATATATACAATTAAATATTACTCAGCCATAAAAAAAGAATGAAATAATGCCATTTGAAGCAACAAGGTTGCAACTAGAAATTATCATACTAAGTGAAGAAAGATCAAAATACCATATGGCATCACTTACATGTGGAATCTAAAATATGACACAAATGAATCTATCTATGAAACAGAAACAGACTCGGTGACACAGGAGGACAGACTTGTAGTTGCCAGTGGGGAGGGGGTAGGGCGGGGGAGAGGGGGAAGCTGGAGCTGACTGGTGTAAACTGTTACACACAGAATAAACACAAGGTCCCACTGCAGAGCACAGGGAGCTATATTCACTATCCCATGATGAACCATAAAGGAAGACACTAACAATAAACACGGATGTATGTGTGTGTAACTAAATCACTTTGCTGTAAGCAGAAATTAACAAAACACTATAAATCAGCTATACTTCAATTGTAAAAATGAGAAAAATAAGAACTGATGAAAGACTCAACAATATAATCAGAATAAACACAGGGTGAGATTTTTTACCGAAGCAGAGTTTGTTTACAGTATTGTGTTGCTTTCAGGTATACGGCAGTGATGTGGTTACCTTTTTATTCTTTTCCATCACTGGCTATTATAAGACACTGAACGTAGCTCTCTGTGCTATAGAGCAGCGGCCCCAGCCTTTTTGGTGCCAGGGACCGAAGACAGTTTTTCCACGGACGGGGGTGGGGGATGGTTTCAGGATGATTCAAGCTCATTACATCTATTGTGCACTTTATTTCTAATATTACGACACTAGCTCCACTTCAGATCATCAGGCATTAGATTCAGGAGGTTGGGGGCCTCCCTATACAGTAAATCATTACTGTTTACCTATCCTGTATATAGTCATGTGTAACTGTTAACCCTATAACCCTGATTAATCCCTCTCCCTGCCCCTTTGGTAGTCATGTTTGTTTTCTATGTCTATGAGTCTGTTCCTGTTCTGTACATGGATTCATTTGTATTGTTTTTTAGATTCTACATGTAAGTGACATGGTATTTGCCTTTCTCTGGCTGACTGACTTCACTTAGGATGATAACATCTAGATCTGCCCATGTTGCTGCAACCCCTGCACAAGCCAGTGGCCCCCCAGCTCCACCAGCACCCTTGGCTCTCAGCCCCTAGTCAAGGGGGGCCGGCGCTCTCAGACAGACAGCTGACACCAGCCAGGCCCCCGCAGGCTTAATGCTCCTGCTCGGACACATACCTCATCCCCGTTTCTCTGCGACCCCTCTGCTCCCAATCATGCTGTGACCCAAGTCACTGCATCACTTCCTAACCTTTCTCAGGTCCCCTCGGGGGCTGTGTGAGGGCAAACAGATTAAAACGGGAAAAAATTAATCTTCCAGCTGCAAAAAAGGAATGGGACTATCCCCTCTCTTGCCTTAGAGCATTTAGAACACCTGTAAATTCTTTCTCTGCCTCCTCTGAAATGGATGTCATCTCTATAAACAACTCCATAAGCCTGGTGCAGGTTTACAACCCAGGACCATCTTTCTCCAGGGCCTGGGAGCCGCCTCCTGGAGTGTGATCCTTAGGGAAGAGGCTCTCCTTCTACCCCCAGATTCTGTGGGGTACAGGTCCCTGGCTCTAGGCTGAAACCCCGCGCCTGTGAGAGGCCAGAACGTCTACTGTCCCTTTAGATAAAAGCGATCAGCTAACACAAACCCCAATTACAGGGGCAGCTGGCGTGAACTGTGTGTGACCAATGGTGCTGTCCTAAGTCCTAAGTAAGGACTGATGCTGGTCTGTCCCAGGAACATGTGTCTAATGGCTGACTCTTCCCAGCTATATAAAAGGGTGAGCACCCCTCCTGTCTGCAATGGCCTGGTGATGAGACAAGCGTCATGATCTGGTTTCAGGTTTACTCAATCCTGAGCCCATCCTCCCTGCTCTACCCTGTGGAGAAGTTTTCTCAGTCGGAGGAGATTTTGTTCTAATTACACAGGCACACCTTGGATATACTGCAGGTTTGAGTCCAGAACATCACAGGCTGTAAAGCAAGCATTAAAACAAGGCGGGTCCTTTACTGTACAAATTCTTTGCTTTCCTGGTGCATGTTCTATAGTCTAGCTTGTTAAGCGTGCAGTAGTATTACGTATAAAAACACTGTGCAACCCCCGCTTCTCCCCGACGGTTAGTGCTGAGAGCGCGGAGTGTGTGCTCCGGGCTCGGAACACACATTTATTATTTAAAAAAAAAAAATCTAAAAAAATCTTTTAAAAAACCCCAAAAAATTTTTACAAAAAAATCCGCGTCTCCCCCGCCGGAGATTTTTTTTTTTTTTTCCTTCCTCTTTTATAAAATAACCCGGTGAAGCAGCCGAGACCGACCCGCCCGCCCGCGGCCCCGCAGCAGCTCCAAGAAGGAACCAAGAGACCGAGGCCTTCTCCCGCTGCCCGGACCCGACACCGCCACCCTCGCTCCCCAGCCGGCAGCCAGCAGCCAAGCCTCCAGCGGCAGCGGATCGACCCGATTCTGCGGCCGTTGAGTAGTTCCCGATTCCGGTTGATTTTTGTCCCTCTGCGCTTGCCCCCGCTCCCTCCCCCCGGCTCCGGCCCCCCGGCCCCGGCACTCTCTCCCCTCCTCTGACGGGAAAGGTCGCGCGGCCTGTGGCCCTGCAGGCAGCCGTGCCGAGATGAACCCCAGCGCCCCCAGCTACCCCATCTTGATGATGGTACTGATGATGAACGTCTCCGGAAAGAGTTTTCTCCATTTGGCACAATCACCAGTGCAAAGGTTATGATGGAGGGTGGTCGCAGCAAAAGTTTTGGTTTTGTATGTTTCTCCTCCCCAGAAGAAGCCACTAAAGCAGTTACGGAAATGAACGGTAGAATTGTGGCCACCAAGCCATTGTATGTAGCTTTAGCTCAGCGCAAAGAAGAGCGCCAGGCTCACCTCACTAACCAGTATATGCAGAGGATGGCAAGTGTAAGAGCTGTGCCCAACCCCGTAATCAACCCCTACCAGCCAGCACCTCCTTCAGGTTACTTCATGGCAGCTATCCCACAGATTCAGAACCGTGCTGCATACTATCCTCCTAGCCAAATTGCTCAACTAAGACCAAGTCCTCGCTGGACTGCTCAGGGTGCCAGACCTCATCCATTCCAAAATATGCCCGGTGCTATCCGCCCAGCCGCTCCTAGACCACCATTTAGTACTATGAGACCAGCTTCTTCACAGGTTCCACGAGTCATGTCGACACAGCGTGTTGCTAACACATCAACACAGACGATGGGTTCGCGTCCCGCAGCTGCTGCTGCTGCAGCTACTCCTGCTGTTCGCACCGTTCCACAGTACAAATATCCTGCGGGAGTTCACAGTCCTCAACAACATCTTAATGCACAGCCACAAGTCACCATGCAGCAGCCCGCTGTTGATGTACAAGGTCAGGAGCCTCTGACTGCTTCCATGTTGGCATCTGCCCCTCCTCAAGAGCAGAAGCAAATGTTGGGTGAACGGCTCTTTCCTCTAATTCAAGCCATGCACCCTACCCTTGCTGGTAAAATCACTGGCATGTTGTTGGAGATTGATAATTCAGAACTTCTTCATATGCTTGAGTCTCCAGAGTCTCTCCGTTCTAAAGTTGATGAATCTGTAGCTGTACTACAAGCCCACCAAGCAAAAGAGGCTGCCCAGAAAGCAGTTAACAGTGCCACCGGCGTTCCGACTGTCTAAAACGATCAGGGACCATGAGAAGAAACTCGTGCTTCACAGAAGAAAAATACCTAAACATCAAAAAACTTAAATATTATGGGAAAAACACATTGCAAAATATAAAATAAATAAAAAAAGGAAAGGAAACTTTGAACCTTATGTACCGAGCAAATGCCAGGTCTAGCAAACATAGTGCTAGCCCTAGATCACTTATTGATTTAAAAACAAACAAACAAAAAAAACCACAAAAAAATAGTAAAATATAAAAACAAATTAATGTTTTATAGACCATGGGAAAAAGAATTTTCAGCAAAGTACAAAAATTTAAAGCATTCCTTTCTTTAATTTTGTAATTCTTTACTGTGGAATAGCTCAGAATGTCACTTCTGTTTTAAGTAACAGAATTGATAACTGAGCAAGGAAACGTAATTTGGATTATAAAATTCTTGCTTTAATAAAAATTCCTTGAACAGTGAAAAAAAAAAACACTGTGCAAACCTTAATTAAATACTTTATAGCTAAAACATGCTGACCACCCTCTAAGCCTTCAGCCAGTTGCAATCTTTTTGCAAGAGTAATACCAAGGGTCACTGATCACAGATCACCATAATACATATAATAATAATGAAAAATCCTGAAATATCACAAGAATTACCAAAACATGACATAGAGACATGGTGAGCAAATGCTGTTGGGAAAATGGTGCCCATGGACTTGCTCGAGGTAGGGTCACACAGATCCGCAGTGGACAGAGTGATTCAATGAGCTCTGCCTGGGTTTCCTGACAGCTAGTGCAGGTGAGGAAAGAGCCTGGGTCTGGACCTGCCAATGTGTGTGGCCCAGGACAGCCTCCCACGCGTCCTCACTCTCCCAGGACAAAACTGGCTACAGCCTCTGTGGAAACTCACTCGGATAGTGGAGTTGATGGTACTTTGTGTGTGGAAAGGAGCTCTTTTCACTTTTATCTACCCCTATAGTTTTCCACAATGAGCGCCCACTGCTTATAACTAAACACCTGCAGTGATTTTACAGTCAGGGCCATGGGTGCAGGTCCTTTAAAGGCAGGCTGGGCTCCTCCTGCCTCAGCAGTCCCAGAGGGGGCCCTCTCCTCCGTGGTGCTCATAGAAGCTGAACTCCTGAGGGGCGGGAAGGCTCTGAGTGAGGGTTCTGAGGGCTCCAAGCTGCCCCCTGCTCTGGACTCACCAGTGGGAAGTGGGCGGGAGGCAAGAGGCAGGGGAGCCACGTGGGCAGATGGAGCATCACAGCTGGGAGTCAGGCAGGCACCTGGCCCTGCCTGTGTCACAGGTGAATCCTTCCTCTCGGAGCCTCAGTTTATCCAAAAGTAAACTAAAGGAAAACCACCATTTATCAAGAACAGGATCTGCCAGGTACTACCCCGGTGGCTCAGCGGTAAAGAATCCGCCTGCAATGCAGGAGACCTGGGTCAGGAAGATCCCCTGGAGAAGGAAATGGCAACCCACTCCAGTATTCTTGCCTTGGAAATCCCATGGACCGAGGAGCCTGGCGGGCTACAGTCCATGGGATTGCAAAAGAGTTGGACATGATGTAGCAACTAAACCACAAGATCAATGTTAATCCACAACTACTGCCTAAGTAAGTTGAAAACTTTATTTCAGGACCCCATTTACATTCTTAAATTACTGAGGACCCCAAGGAGCTTTGATCCATGTATGCTGTATCTATAGGTATTTACCATATTAGATATGGCTTAGAATTTTTAAATATTCATGTTATTTAAAAATAACAGTAATTAAAACATCTACTTCTGCCTTATTGGCTATGCCAAAGCCTTTGACTGCGTGGATCACAACAAACTGTGGAGAATTCTTCAAGATGGGAATACCGGACCACCTTACCTGCCTCCTGAGAAACCAGTATGCAGGTCAAGAGGCAACAGTTAGAAGGGGACATGGAACAATGGACTGGCTCCAAATTGGGAAAGAAGTACATCAAGGCTGTATATGGTCACCCTGCTTATTTAACTTATATGCAGAGTACATCATGTGAAATGCCACACTGGATGAAGCACAAACTGGAATCAAGACAGCCAGGAGAAATATCAATAACCTCAGATATTCAAACACCACCACCGTTATGGCAGAAACAGAAGAACTAAAGAGTGTCTTGATGAAGGTGAAAGAGAAAGTGAAAAAGTAGGCTTAAAACTAGACATTCAAAAACCAAAGATCATGGCATCCAGTCCCATCACTCCGTGCCAAATAGATGGGGAGACAATGGAAACAGAGACTTTATTTTGGGGGGCTCCAAAATCACTGCAGATGGTGACTGCAGCCATGAAATTAAAAGATGATTGCTCCTTGGAAGAAAAGCTATGACAAACCTAGACAGCATTATTAAAAAGCAGAGATGTTACTTTGCCAACTAAGATCTGTCTAGTCAAAGCTATGGTTTTTCCAGTAGTCACATATGGATGTGAGAGTTGGACCATAAAGAAAGCTGAACGCCGAAGAATTGATGCTTTTGAACTGTAGTGTTGGAGAAGACTCTTGAGAGTCCCTTGGGCTGCAAGGAGATCAAACCAGTCAAGCCTAAAGGAAATCAGTCCTGAGTATTCATTGGAAAGACTGATGCTGAAGCTCCAATACTTTAGCCACCTGATATGAAGAACTTACTCATTGGAAAAGACCCTGATGCTGGGAAAGGCTGAAGGCAGGAGGAGAAGTGGATGACAGAGGGTGAGAAGGTTGGATGGCATCACTGACTTGATGGACATGGGAGTTTGAGCAAGCTCTGGGAGTTGGTGATGGACAGGGAAGCCTGGTGTGCTGCAGTCCATTGGGTCACAAAGAGTCAGACATGACTGAGCGACAGAACTTAACTGAACCCATTACATATCAACAGAAATAATGTTTTTATGAAAAATAGTATTTTCCTAAATAAGGAGAAAATTCAGAGAGAAGGACATTGTGTTTTCAAATCTCTTGTCACCTGTCAATACCTTTGCATACATGCTCAGTCAAGTCCAACTCTTTGCGACCCTAAGGACTGTAGCCCGGCAGGCTCCTCTGTCCATGGAATCTTCCAGGCAATACTAGAGTGGGGTTGCTCTCCCTCCTTGTTAGTTGCTTGGCCTGAGACGACCCAGCCCTGGGATCTACAGGCTCTGTGGCAAGGTTAATTGTGACCTCCAAGAGGAATTACACCAAGGGGGGGCTTCCAGGACTGCTGCTGCCACTGCCGAGTGGTGAGCCCCTGACAACCCATGCTCCCACAGGAGACCCTCCAACATGAGCAGCACTGTTTAGGCTAGCCAATACATAGAAGCAACCTAAATGTCCATCAACAGAGGAATGGATAAAGAAGACATGGTACATATATACACTGGAATATTACTGAACCATTAAAAATAATGAAATAATGCCATTTGCAGCAACATGGATGGACCTGGAGACTGTCATACTGAGTGAAGTCAGTCAGAGAAGGAGAAATATGATATGACATTCCTTACATGTGGAATCTGAAAAGAAATTATATAAATGGACTTACAAAACATAAAGAGACTCAAAGAACAAGCTTATGGTTTCCGGGGAGAAGGATGGGGGGAAGGGATAGTTAGGGAGTTTAGGATGGACAGGTACACACTGCTGTATTTAAAATGGATAACCAAAAAGGTCCTACTGTATAGCACATGGAACTCTGCTCGATGTTATGTGGCAGCCAGGATGGAAGGTGAGTTTGGGGAGGAATGGACACATGTATATGTATGGCTGAGTCCCTTCCTGTTCCCCTGAACCTATCACAACATTGTTAACTGGCTATACCTCAGTAGAAGATAAAAAGTTTAGGGGAAAAAAAAATACTGGAGTGGGTTGCCATTTCCTACTCCAGGGGATCTTCCTGACCCAGGGATTGAAACCATGTCTCCTGCGTCTCCTGCACTGGCAGGGGAATTCTTTGCCACTGCATCACCTGGGAAGCCCTCAAATCTCTTTACTGTTGGCTATTTAATAGCAGGCAGTGGGATTCTCATCTGGGTCAGTATATTATTTTGGTCGAAGGAAGCGAAGAAAATCTAACCCACACAGGCATGTGACTGGAAAGGTCCTGGTCAGATCACGTAGCAGGGCCTGAAGACCAGCTTCCAGGTGGACTCTATCACATCCTGACCACTTCCTCCTGTTACAGGAAAATCCAGTGGCTTCTTATGTCCTTTGAAAGGGTTGTTCCTTTTACCCAGGTATGATCTCAACATCCTGTATTGGGCCACTTGGAAAATTTAAGCTCAGGGAGTCTAAGGGACAGCTCACTGGAGGCATGCCTCATTACACAACATCAAACACGGATACAGCTTTCCACCCATCCCCACCAATTTCATCAGGAAAGCTATCAAACCTTGCAAAGCTGTCAAGCTGTGCAAAATTCTAATTTTCACGCGAAAGCCTGGACTTTATCACCAGCACAGACCCTGAGCTGGTCTCCTGGTTGCGGCCTGGAGGGCACTTGGCACCATGTGAACATCCTGTCACAGCCACACCCGCTCCTCCCATTGCATCACCAAAACCATTAAAAGGGCAGAATTCAAGAGCTGAGATTTACTAAATTAGCATCTGCTGTGGCCTCATCAAAACAGCCTCAGTGTGAACTGCGGGGACAGGGTGACCATGAGCACATCCCAAGCCAAAGCCACCAAAGCAAAGGGCGCCTTACGACAAAGGCAAATAGCGTCCGAGTGGTTTCGGAACGGCAGACCTTTAGGGTTCCACACATCACACTTTGAGGACTGCTACATTAATCCCTCACCATCCCTCCACCTGGATCAGGGGCTGAGCTGTTTTGCCAAAGAAGAAATTGGAGGTTTAGTGACGTTGATGCAAGGCCCCTCCAGGCCCTTCTGTCTGTAGCAGGACAGAAATTTGTTCTCGACCCTGGTCCCCCCTCCACACAGTCCAGCTCTCTGTTCTCTGCCCCCTCAGCCACTGTTAAGACCACCCTCCCCACTGCCCCCACTTGGAGCCCCTCCGCTGGGGCTCTCAGATGGCCAAGTCCCAGGTAACACCCCCCCATACCCCCACACCCTGATGATGACCCCACAATTGGCACCCTTCCACAGTGGTCTATGGAGCCCCCACAATTGGCATCCTTCAGGGCTGACAAAGCACAGTTCACCCCCTTCACCTTCAGGGACAGCATGAGGATCATTCCAAGTAGAAAATGAGGAGGTAGGCCTTGGTCTCCCAGGCTCCAGGCTGTTCTCACCAGAGCACAGCTCCCCTAACCTCCCACCTCCCTGACTTCTCCCTGGCTCCCTTCCCCCAAGCTCTAAGTTGGGGAGCCACCTCAGAGAGTCTGGGAGGCTCACATGGACCACAGACACCTCTCCCCCTGCCTGCTGACCCCAGGACCTCCTCTGCTAGGAGCAGCACTCAATCCAGGCTCCAAAGATCCCCAACTGGCACACTCCACCCCTGCTCAGCCACAGGAGGGGCTAAAGGTTAAGCAAGGCCTCAGCACGCCCCCACCCCGGCTCTGAGGGCCACCTTGGTGGCATCACTCCCAGCCACCCTCAGCACCAGCTGGCAACTGCCACACCTCCAGGCAACTCCTCCTTGGTCACTGCATTCCGTCTGGGCCAGGGTCCTGGTACCAGCATCCTTGCTGGGCCAGCTGCACAGAGCACCTGGAAGCCCGGGCTGAGCAAAGCAGCCTGGCCCAGAGGGGCCACTCCTCCTGGGCCCCATTCCCTGCCACCATCTCTCCTCCCTTCACGCAGAGCCGGCAGGCACCTGTGGTCCAGGCCAGGGGCCCAGCTCCTTAGTCGGTGGGGGCTAGGGTTAGGGTTAGGGGGGAGAGCCTGAGAGGCCCTGACCTTGCAGGGAGGAAGAGGAGGGAGGTACAGGCTCAGGGGGACAGGATCCTCCCAAAGACTTGTGGAAGAACCAGTGGCAGTACCAGACGCCTTGGGGGGCAGGTCTGAAGCTGCCTGGGGTCGGAGGAGGACAAAGTGCTGTGCATCTGTGATGGGGGTGAGCGGTGGGAGGCAGGCGCTGACACCTTGCACCCATGGCTTGAGAACATTCTGGAACCCAGCAGGGGAGGGGCCGTCCCGTTATCCATGCCCCACCCCGCCCGCAATTAAAGGAGCAGAAAGGCACTTGTGTCTGTACAGGCCTATGATCCGGTGGGGGGCGTTGGGGAGGGCTGGGGAACCACCGACTGGCTGGTTGTAAGGACGCGACACCCCAAAGGGCGAGCTGCCCGCTCAGAGGCCGAGCACAGTGCCTCCTCAGCTACCCGGGGGTCGCTCCCCTGGAATGACCCGCGCAGCTTCAAAAACTGCAAGGAGCCCTTCGGGTCCACGCACAAAGCTCAAGAAACTGCAAATACGTGTCTTATCTGCACGTCGGCGACTTTAGGCGTTCCTGGGTCGTCCCCTAAACGCCGCTGGCTCCGAGCAGCCCTGTGGTCACCGACGGCTGCCGCGCGGGCCAAGAGGCGCCCGAGACCCACGGGCGAACGCAGGGAGCGCGGGGCCTGCCGGGACAGCTGGGGGGCGCGAGCGCGGAGCGACTCTAACTCGGCGCACCTGCCGGCGCGGGGCTGGGGACGCAGAGGGACAAGGACCCGCCCAGCCTCCGCTGGTGGCCTAGCCCCAACCCAGGGCAAGGGGAGGGCTCCGGGGCCAGGGGCCAGAGGTCCTGGCAGGGGGCTCTGCCGCGGCTCCGACGCAGAGAGTAGACGCGGGGGCAGGGGGGACGGACCTACAGGTAACAGCGTGCTGGTCTCCAGTCGGATGAGAGGTCTCCACGTGACAGGTGGGTGGTCTCCAGGTGACAGGCAGGTGGTCTCCTGTCAAATGAATGGTCTGCAGGTGACAGGGTGGTGTTCTCCAGGTGACAGGCAGATGGTCTCCAGGTGACAGATGGGTGGTCTCCAGCTGTTTGGCCCTAAGGGCACTCTCAGTCAGCTGAATGGGGAATGTTCTTCGCTGTTGCTAGTTTCGGGGGAACACACAGTCTCATTTCAGCTTATTGAACATGAGACAAAGAACCAGGAGCTGGAGGAGCAGAGTCTGGCCTAGTGACAAGTAACCCGGGAAGTATCTAGGGGTCTCATGGGGTTTCTGAGGAAGGACCAACTTCATCTATGTCATTCAGGGAAGTCTTTGCAGCAAACCGTCTCCCAAAATGTTTCGAAAAACAAGAGATTTGTCCGGCTTCTTGTTTTGGGGGTTTTTTTTGGCCATGTTACATGGCATGTGGGATCTTCCCCAACCAGGAATCAAATCCATGCCCCTAGCACTAGAAGCTCAGAGTCTAATCACTGGACACTAGCAAAGTCCCCTGTGAAACTTCTTAACTGCCCCTGTTTTCTGGGAGGAAAGGCTCAGAGGGGACCCGACCCAGACACCCTGGCTGTTCCAATATTTCCCAGGGGAACCCATGTCCCCTGGGCCCAGCCCAGCCGGGGAGCACAGCACTGCCCTGAGCCCACAGCGGCCCCTGCTGGAGGGAGGGAGTGGGTGTCCACACAGGTCTGAAGAGGGAGCTGAGCTAGCCCCAGGCACTATGCCCTCGGCAGCCCCTGGGCATTTACCCCGAGGGCCACATGGGCTCAGCAGAGAGTAGAGCCTCGGAGCAGCTACGAATGGCACAGCCCTGGTGTCCCAGTGGCCCAAGGGCTCTGTGTGGCACACCTGGCCTGGGGCCCTAGCACAGTCCCTTTCCCAAGCCCCGTTTTCTGGGCCTGTTCCAGAGAAGCACATGTTCTAACCTCTGACTGCTGCATCTGTTCCCACGGGGCGACAGCACCTCTGCATCGTCCGGAACCACTCGAGTTCTGAGCCACAGCAGGTTCGGCTTTACGTGTGTCCCCGCAGCCTCCTGGCTCAGCTGGGAGACAACCACAGGTGCCATGTCCACACACCAAAGTGTCTTTGCTTTTAGCCCCTTGGGTGCAAAATCCATCCAGAGCACAGTGCTGGTCCTGGCCCCTTAAACAGGGGTGCTGCTTGTCACAGGCGCTGTCACAGTCAAGGGCTGGGACTGTCCTCCAGCCGGCACATCCCTTAGCGTACAGCGGGTTGTCACAGCTTTCGGCTTTTGTTCCCCAGACAGGGCGCTGCTCTGACCGAGAAGCTCGTCTCTCTACTCCACGTGCCCAGACCTCTGGCCCCAGCCCAGCTCTGGTATTTTTTGACACTCTCTGGGGGTGGAACTGCTATTCTGAAAACCAGGAAATAAAAATTGGAGCCAGTGAGGGGCTTCAGAGGGAGGGGCTGATGCATGCCAGGTTTGGGGACCCGTGGACCACCCGACAGACTTCCAGAGAGCCACATGTCAAATTAAGCCAGAAGCACAGCTCACTCCGGGAGTTGGGGCAGCAGCCTGGGGTTCTCTCTGACTTTCACAAGTTCCTTTTTTCCATCTGCAGAGAGGTGAGGTGCCTAAATTAACTTATTTCCTGACTTTCATGTGTGTCCTGGGTAGGGGACAATAAACAGTTAACCTCCCTGTCGATGAGATGTTCCTACACCAAAAAAAGACAGAAAGGGAGCAGTTCAGACAGCGAGACTGGTACAGTGGTAAGGCCAGAACTCTGGTAACAGATACCCTCACTGAGCCCTGTCTTAGCTGGGGTGGGGCGGCCCAGCGCAGGTGTGCAGGGTGACCAGAGAGGTATGGAGAAAGGCCAGGACCAGCACCAAGACCTTGACCCAGCAGGCTGTCTGCAGCTGTGGGAGATGCTCACACCCAGGCAGCGTCTGTCTTGGAGCTCAGCCACAAGGTCAATGAGAGGGCACCCTTCCTCCAGTGAGGCCCCGTCTTCTCATCAGCCCCCATCTGTCCCTTGGCTCTCTCTGGGGACAGAGTCCCACCATGGCCCAGCTTTCAGGATGCCCTTTCTCCCTGCCCAATGTACTCCCTCACTCCCACCTCCTTCCATCCTGGAGGTCATACTCAGGCCACCTCTGGACACACAGACCTCCTCCCAAACAAGTGTCCACAGAAAATCTGCTTTAATGGGCATCACGGTGGCCAAGAGGTAAATAGTCTCAGAGGAAATGGGGCTGGGCTCAAGACGCTGTGCCTTTGTCCTAATGAGCTTTGTGGGCAGGAGCTCAGGGGCTCACCCATGGGGGACAGGTGACCCCCTGAAAGTCTTCCTGGCCTCAGTTTCCTCATACATTAAAACCCACACAATTGGAGGCCCCCCTTGACAGGGTCATTGCCGGGGTAAAAGGGCTGCAGATAGGAGGCTGGCCCAGGGCCCAGAGCCCTCACCCATCAGTAAGGACCCCCAGGGAGTGTGGGGGGATGTCAGGCATGGACGGCGGGGTGTGGGGAGGGGGAGCAGCCCCAGCAGTGGCTCACTTGGGGCTGCAGTAATCCAGACCAGGCTTGCCATGTGGCCATGGCCACACGCACTCACACCAGCTCTCTCTCCTTATTGGTGGGCAGCAGGGTGGGCAGCTATGTGCCCTAATGGAAGGCTGGGCATCAGTTCGTCCAGCTTAGCTGCCACCTTCTGGCAGGTAAACAGGCCAGGTCCTGGCCAAATCACGTGGTACAAGGCAGGCCACCCCCAGGGTCCTTGACCTGAGGGCTGGTGCAAGGATCCTGGGTCCTGGCCATCTACGCGTGGCCCTCAGTCCAGGCTCCACTGGTTCTTGGCGTCAAAGCAGAGGTGACTGTCGTTGGTCTGCGTCCCTTGAAACCACTTACCACATGGAGCAACTGCAGGGAATTGGCAGGGAGGAAACAGGCCTGAGATTCTAAGAGTCGGGCCAGGTGACTCTCCCACCAGCTGGCCCAGAAACCCATCTGGTTCCCCCGTGAAGGGCTCTTTCTGCCCCCTGCCACCTGAATTGTCAATGCCTTTGGCTGCAGCGTTCCACCCAGAAAAGCGGTGGAGCCTGAGAGGAGGAAGCCTGCGGCCTATCTGTCCCACGCCGTGAAATCCCCTCCATCCCTGGATGTAGAGGGTAGTGGTCAGCAAAACGGGCTCCTTGAGGGCAGAGCTTGGATGCCTCAGGGCAAGAGGGCTCAGGAAGGCTTCCTGCTTATGGCTCAGTGGCCAAAAGAAACAGCACTCTGCTCTGTTCATACCCTGAGACAGCCCCGCTCTCAGGGGGCCCAGGGACAGAGCTCACAGGGGAGGAGGTGGGAGGCTCGGAGAGCCATTGGCAAAGGGGTGTCTGCCCATCTCCTGGCCCTGCCAGCCATCAGCAGACAGGATCCAGCTGGGGAGCAAACGGAGGGAGGCGGGAGGGGCTGGGCTGGGGGAGGGCAGCCTTCAGACCATGCTGAACCCAGGCCCCTGCTGCAGGAGCGGGGGCCCTGCTGCCTGAGGGCCGGCGGCCTCGCTCCTGCTGGCTCTGCCTTCTGGGGGGTCTCTCGGACCGCGCTGTAGCTGGCAGTGCTAAGGCTGGCCATGCGCCTCTGTGGCCTCTCCGCCCTGCACTGACACAGCTGCCGGAAGGCCGCCTGGAACTTCTGGGACATGAGGCTGTAAATGATGGGGTTGACGGCACTATTGGCATACACGCAGGTGCGGCAGAAGAGGAGCACCCGGGGGTCCAGGAAGGGCTCAGCCACGAAGGAGTTGAGAAGCACTAGCGAGCGGTAGGGCATCCACAGGACGGCAAAGGGCAGCACGACCACCACCAGCATCTTGGTGACCTGTGGGCGGGAGGGCCGGGTGGGCGACCGCCATCACCCTTCACACCGTGGGGCCAGCAGGGCCAGTGGCCGAGCTGAGGCTGTGGCTTCTGCCGCAGGATGTGTTTGCTGAGCATGTGATGAGAACGTAATTGCAATATCACTGAAATTACTACAGCGTGCCCATTGGGCTCTACGCTAAACGTTTCCCGTTCAGGAACCCAGGGCCAGCATTCAAAGCTGTGCTGGTCGACACACTGATGGAATAGCCCCACCTCAGGTGCCCACTGGTGCACCCCACCCCCCAGACCTCTCAGACCCCCCAGGAAGTAAAGACCGGATGCCTGGAGTGGCACCTCAGGCATCTGTTGAGGGGTGCTGCAGGGAAGCCTGGGTGGACGCCGTTGCTGCTGGCACTCAGGTTACTTTCCCTGCAGCGGTCTTTCCAGTGGTGCCATTGTCACCTCCACCTGGAGGAGGAGGAAGGGAATTCCCCAGCAGTCTGGTGGTTAAAAACTCAGGGGCTTTCACTGCCATGGCCCAGGTTCAATTCCTGGTTGGGGAGCTAAGATCCCACAAGCCTCGAGGCAAAAAAAAAAAAAAAAATAAGAGGAAGCAGAGGCTCAGAATGAGAGATCACACTGCCCAGGCACCATGAACCAGCTTCTCCTGCAGCCCGTCTGTGCACAGTCACGTCCCCATTCTGCACCCCGTTCTGTTCTTTCAGCTCAGGAGTGAGTTACCAGGTGGGCTGAGGACAGGAACGTGCTGGGCTCCAACTTCCCGCTGCCAGCCCAGGGTCACGGCATCTCTGGGAGGGAGGAGGGTCAGTGGGAGGGGAACGGGCAGATGTCCTGGCCACACAGAGGGACAGCCATCACTGATCCGTGCAGAGAACTTCCTGGGGATCCCAGAGCTGAGGGGAGGTCTTGGGGGTCCCCTCATCTGCTCTATCTTGGCCTCTGCCTGCTGCTGCCTCCAGAGTGCGGGGGGCAGAGGGTGGGAGTGGGAGTGCTGAAGCCAGCAAGCCTAAGCTGGGTGACCTTGGCCAGCCCCCTTCACCTCTCTGAGCCTCTGTCTCCACTTGTGGCATCAGGAGAATTGCAGTGTCCTTCAGGAATTGGTCTATGGGGAGGTGGGGGGTGAGGGATCCCCATGAAATCATTACTCCTTTGCCCCAGGAAGTGTGACACCTGTGTGTCCATAGCTTTGTGCTGGGGCCACGCTACAGCCCGCGTGAAAGCAGGCCTCGACTGCTCAGTGCCTCTGGTTCTCCGTTTCGCTCTGTCTCCCCGTCTGTCTCTTTATGTCTCTCTCCCTGTCTCTCTGTGTGTGTATCTCTGTCTCTCCTTCTCTCTGTGTGTCTCCCTCTCTGTCTCTGTGCCTCTGTCTCTTCCCCAGTCCCTCCCTCTCTCTGTCCCCCCCCTCTGCTTCTCCCCAACTCACATTTCAGCTGCTCATCCACAGGGACCCTCTCTGCTCAGCCCTCCCCCCGCCTCAGCCTCTCCACGCGCCCATCGTGGTTACACGTGGGAGCCTGTACACGCCTGTCTTGGGCTGCAAACGTGTACGAATCCCCTGAACCCTGAGATGTGGTCCCCCATCTCAGAAGCCCCAGAGTTGCCCCAGTCAGGGCTGAGTGCTTCCAGGGTCCCCAGAGTGTCCATCCCATTCCCCCCATCCCTCCTGACCATTCGTGCACCAGGCCCTCCCTCTGTTTCTCCCCACCTGGACCACTTCCTGGGTATCTGCTTGGTCTGCCCTGCTGCCAATCTCAGATCTTAATTCAGTTGTCACCTCAGTGAGGCCTTCTTGAACTTTCCCCTAAACTCTCTCTCTTCTGGGCAGTATTCTGCAGAACAAGTGTTTACTTGTCTTACCATGAGCCCCAAAGGCAGGATGTTTATCTTGTTCTGTTCTCCCCAGCTTCCAGCACCTAGAACCTCACCGGACACACAGTCGGTGCCCAGAGACACCTGCTGAGTGAGTGGGTGAACAGGGGTGGAGCCAGCACCCCCCGCCCCATCCATTCACCCCTTTGCCGAAACTCCCTGTCTCTGTACAAACCGCCCCCTCCCACCCCCCAGCCTCAGGAGACCTCGTACCTGCTTCCTGGATGAAGGGAAGCCTCTAGCCTCGCGGCAGCTGGCCCCCGCACCCCCGCCAGGCTCACGAGGCTGTCTCCCCAGGGCTCTTGCCTCCGGCTGGGCCTCACTGTCCCTGTGCTGGTCCCCAAGCTGTGGCAGGTGCGCCAGGGTGCTCCGGAGCAAGACCCTTGCGATAAGTCCACAGAGCACGGTGGCTGCCAGTAGGGGCGCGAGGAAGAAGACAGTGAAGTCTAGCAGGTAGATTGGTAGGCACAGGCTGCAGGCCACCCGGTAGCCGCACTGCAGGCCCCGGCTCCCACCAGCGTCCAGGTCCACCAGGAAGAACCAGAGCAGGCAGTACACGGACATGGTCCCCCAGACATCACCACGACTCGCTTGGCCTGCACCATGGTGCACACGGTCTGTGCCCACATCGGGTGGCAGATGGCGATGTCCCTGCAGGCCACAGGGCAGTCCCGTGACCCACCTGCCCTCCTGGGCTATTGGGCTGCAGTGGGGACACCTGACGACCTCGGCCAATCAGATTCCCCAATGAGGAACCGAATGCAATGTGATGGTTTAACCGGCCCTTTCACTACGGACCTGGAAGGTTGTGGAGATCTGGGGAGTGGAGTGGCCACGTTGAGGCAGCCTCGGGGGCTGGCAGAGCAAGGCGCCAATCTCAAGAGGGGAGAGCGGGCCGAGTCAGAACACACAGCCCCTTAAGTTCTGGCCAGGCCCACGAGGCAGAGGTGCCCCTTCAAAGACCTTGACCTCTGTGAAAGTTCCAGTGGGCTTCCTACTGCCCACTACCAAAGGTCTCGGGCTAAGGGCTCAAGGACACTGTGACCCCAGATGGCACAGCGGGCAAGAGGCAGGACTGGGCCAGCGTATGTAAGTCAGAGGCCTCGGTTCTGTCCCCAATCTGTGTGGCCCTGGACAAGATGCTGAGTCTCTGGGCCAATGTGCCAAAGGCCACGCAGCTGAGAAGAAGCAGAGCTGATACTGAACCCAGTCAGCAGGCTTCAGCATCTACATCCTGAGAGGTGGGATTGCCTCTCAGGTGTTAACTTCAGAGCTGGAACAGGCCCAGGAGACTGTCCAGTCCAGCGCCCACATTCCCAAGGGGAACACCATGCCCGAGGAGTGCCAGGCTGCCTTGGCATCCTGCAGCAAGTCAGAGGCAGAGGTGAGATGAGAAACCCACTTCCAGGCACCTGCCCCCTCTCCACCGGGCTCCTCCAAGGTCTCACCCAGCACCCCTCTTCATTAACGGAGAGCAGCCTCAGTTTACCAAGGATCACAGCCAGGAAGTCCTGGGCTGTTGTGGGGGGGGGGGGACTGGAGATGCACATACCTCTCCACTGTGAACGCCAGGATGGAGCAGGAGGAGGCATTGATGCCCAGATACTGCAAATAGGTGATGCCCAGGCAGCTGGCGTGGCCATACACCCACTGCCCAGCCAAGCTCTCGGAGACACTGGGCATCCCTGCAGCCACCAGCACAGTGAGGTCTGCCAGGGCCAGGCTGACCACGTAGCAGTTGGTGAGCATTTGCATGTCCCGGGTGGTCAGCACCACCAGGACCACCATGGCATTGCCCACGATGCCCACCACACACACGAGGAGCACCAGGAAGATGGAGACCCCCTTGTACACAGGGCCCGGGACAGCCTCACTGGGAGCCAGGGGCACGGTGCTGGGGCTGCCTGGCCTGCTCCCACTCTCCATGGTGGCTGCTCAGGCACTAGGGGGCAGGGGGATTCCGGGAGGTGTCCACACCGTTGGCTGGGGCCTCGTGCCACTGGACAAACACTTGCCTCTCCCGAGAGCCCAGCCCCGGGGACTCACGGGGACCCAGCACAGGTGACGTGACTGCTTGGCCAAGAGAAGGACACAACGGGGACGCTCCTTCCAGTCTGTGCCATAAGGGTAGTCAGCGAGTCACCGGCTCTGCCAGTCTCAGTCTCCTGGTGCATAAATACAGATGGTCGTGCTTAAGACATGAGACGGCAAGGAGACTGAACCCAGAAGGACACATGTCGCACCCTGACTCAGTGCCTCCTGGATGCTTGGCGGCCCGCGGTCCTTTCACTAGGAAGCCACATGGCCTCTCCAAGCCCTGGCCAGCTCATCTGTGAAACTGCTTCTCAGGGATGCAGTGAGATCCCCACAAAACCAGGAGACACAGAGGGTTCTGGGCTGGGAGACTGGCTCTGTCCCATGTCTGTTCCTAATGTTAACATTAAGGCTTTAATTCCCCTGGGCCTCAGTCTCCACACCTGGAGACCCTAACAGTAGCTCAGTCCCAGGGGGCTGTGCAGAACGAAAGGGACAGGCACACCAGGGTGTCAGGGGCCCCACACGGACTCCGCTCCCCCAGCTCTGGAAACACCAGTCAGCCACCCACCTCAACCCATCACAGGGCGACGGAGCAGTGAAGTCATGGCTGGGACTCAGGCCAACAGGTGAGGTCCTGGGGCCCACACGGCCCTACAGCACACCTACACACGCACACCACACACCACCCACTCCTCCACCCTTTAATTCTGTGGGTGTCACTGGCCAGAAGGGCCCCCGCCAGCTCCCTCAGAGTCCCGTCTGGGCCCCTGGTGGCCGAGCGACCCAGGACCAGAGTGGAGCCCTCCTTGCACAGCAGCACACAGAAACCCAGGCACACAAGCTAGACACACACAACACACATGAAACAAAATCCCCCTGTACAGCACGCCCAACACACACCGACCCAGAGCCCAACACACATACGTGTCCCCACTTTGGCGCAGACATAGACACACACTCAACTTCGCACACACAGGTACCAACCACACAGGGACCCAAATGCACGCGTGGGTACATAAATGCACATCACAACTTGCCCACAACCCGGGCATCTATGTTACAACTACAGATGCACACTGTCCACGTTCATACACCCAGCTGCTCAGAGACACAAAACGCCACATGCCTGTGCCCCCAGGCTCCTGCAGCCACTCCCCAGACATGGAGCCCCTCACCCTCCTGAACACGAGCCTCCCTTCACTCTACCTGGAGGAGACCATGTTGCCCCGGGAGCCCAGCGGCCGGCAGGATCCCAAAGGCTGCATTTCCCTCCAGCTGGCAGAAGCCAGCAGCCACCAGTCCGGGGGGGGGTGGTGTGGAGGAGAACCCAGAGCTCTCCCAGAAGTCCTTCTTCCCCCATGGGCAAGGCCCCCTGCAGCTGGGGGCTCACCCATCTCTGCCACCTCGGCATCCCAGGGTCCCCTACCTCCCCACTTCCATCTCTTCCTCCCCTGCACACGAGCCTTTTGCCAAAGAACATTCCCCCAGGCGGGCAGCAGGGACCACTCTCCCCCAGCCCAGGTGAGCCCCCAGGAGAAACTTGCAGTGCTGAGAACTTACCAGGTCAGGAGCCTCCGGGCCTTTCTCCTCCTCCTCCTCCCAGGGAAAGAGGGAGGGGAGAGACGGTCCCGCCGTCCAGCGGCACAGGCTTCTGTTCTGCAGGTTTCAGTGCTACGCAGACTTGCTGAGTGCTCACAGACACGCATGAGGCCCTGCCAACTTCTCTCGCCCCCTGTCGTCCCCCCTAGTCCCCCTTCGTAGGGCTGAAGTCAGCTGATGTGGCTTCCCCAGCAGGGAGACCCCTGAGAAGAAATCCCAGGACCCCAGCTTCCCCCAGAGCACAGGCTGGCCAGGCTGGGAAGGACCCCATTAAGCCTGCTGAGCCTCTGGAGCCCCACAGGACGAGGCAGAGACCCAGGAGGGTGGGGGTGGACCAGTCCTTTACTCCCTGGGGGCCCCCCACTTCCATCTGCAGAGGAGGGAGCACAGAGTTGAGTGCCTCCTGCAGTGTGTGCCTGCGGGGAGACTGGGACTGCAGTTGGGGCATGAATGTTTCAGGTGAAGGAGTGGGACTGGGCCTGGGCCTGGGGGCTCCAGGGAGCAGGGGACCCCATGCTTCCTGCTGGGCTGGGGCTGCCGCTGTGTTCCCCATGGCCAACACACCTCCTCTTGGCTAGCTTTCAGGAAGAGACCCCAAAGGGGCCCCACAGCTGGCTCAGAAAACAGGAATCCTGCTATGGCCTCCAAATGGCCAGGGGCCTGGCTCCTCTGAGGCATTTAGAGTGCAGATTTCATCCCCAGGTCCATCCTCAGGCTGTGAGTCGCAGCCCACACCCCCAGGAACCCAGGAGGAGCCTGGGAAGTGTGCAGATTCCTGGTCACCAGGTCCAGCATCCAGGAGCCAGGCCCTTGAATTGCGTCTCCCAGAAAGTCCAATGACAACAAGTGTCTTATCTCTTTTTTTTTTAACATTTTGATTTTGGAATGTAATATATAAAAGTGCTTGAAATACAAAAGGACACGTGAATGAATAAAGTGGGCGTGCGGATACCATCGCCCTGCCCTGGCTTACATCCTGGTTACTGTCCGCTACTGAGACCACCAGGTGCTTTCTGTAACCAGCACAGCGGACTGTGTCCTGCTCATTCCACTGACACTGGCAGGTGGGCATCTGCTTGACTATGACTGTCCGGATCATCCGTTCACCCCTGCAGTATGGCTCTCCACCACAGGGCTGGGCTGCAAAATGTCCACACAGGATGGACTGTTGGTGGACTTCTATGTCGTTTCTAGTTTGGGGGATCACAGATGCCACTGCTATGAACTCTCCTGTACGTGAGTCCTGGATGAGTACATTTTGGGAAAGGGCGGCGGAAGAGATGGCATGTTCCCTGCCCCGGAAAGGGCACCCCAGCTCCCCCAGGGCTTCCTGAAATGCTGGGAAGCCACATGGAGGGCTTCATGGTGCCTGGTGGACAGAGGATTTCTCTGCCTCTCCTTGTGACCACCCTCAGCCCAATCCCCACCCCCTCCTCCAAACTGGCCCTCCCAGGGAATTCCTTCCCAAGAGAGCTCTCGACTGCTGTCCTCCTGGCTGGTGCTGAAATCACCTGGCTGGACTAGAATCTGTCTTCAGCTTCACGTGGGGCCCTCTCTCTATATCACTCCTCCTGCCCATTGGTGTGGGGGTCCGGCTCCTCTTTTGGACAGGAAAGGCACCAAAGAGACAGAGGCATCGCCAGCTAGCACCTACATAGAGAGCACCTCACTTTCCCCGAGTGCTCACCCACTAGCTTGCCTGTGGACAGACCACATTCCTCAGTTTCCTGTGTCCATACCCTCCGTGTGCCCCAGGAGTCCTGCAGCCAGAAACCCCCTCCCCAGCAGCACAGAAACTCTCTGTGTCTTCTCCAGCTACAGGGTGGTCACAGAGCTCTTGTTCATAATAAGAGAACTCCCTGACAACTTAGATGTCCAGAGTGGTAAGGACCTGATGCTGTTAAAACTGATGCCTTGGAGAAAAACTAATTGGCACATGATCCATTGAATTAATGAGGCTTCCCGGGTGGCTCAGATGATAAAGAATCCTCTTGCAATGCAGGAGACCCAGGTTCGATTCCTGGGTTGGGAAGATCCCCTGGAGAAGGGAATGGCTACCCACTCCAGAATTCTTGCCTGCAGAATTCCATGGACAGAGGATCCTGGTGGGGTACGCTCTATGGGGTCACAAAGAGCTGGACATGAGTGAGTAACTTAACACTTTCACTTTTCCATTGAGTTAGAGGGCAGGCTGCAAATAGCAGGCGAGCATTCCCTCCTGTTTGAAGAATGTATTCATGTCTAATAGCCGCCATCCACCAGGAGCTTGGCATGTGCCAAGCATGGGGCATGGCCCTAGGCATCTTGTGTAACCATCACAACTATCCCTTCATGGTGACAACTTCATTGTTGCTGTTTTCTGGAAGAGAAAGCAGAGCCTCACAGATGCAAGTTGGCTGCTCAAAGCCACACAGCTGATCAAAGGCAGAGCTGAGGTGTGAGCCCAAATCTCTCCTTCTACAAAGTCGGTGTCCTCAGCCTCAGGGTGGATGGTCACCACTGTGCCTGTGCTGTGACTCCAGAAATGCCTGGAGAAAGGGAACACCCGGTGCTTGGGCGCCTACCCCGATGAATGTGGGTGATTCTGTAGTTAGAAAAAGTGACAAAATGCCTGGCTGAAGAGCTGCCTTCCTAGTGAGATCCTTCCTGTATTTGGTCCCAAGGCCAGAGCAGGACGTGGGCAGGAGGAAGGTGACACTTCCTAAAATGTCAGCCTCGAGTCCTTGGACTCAGGGGCTTAGCAAGCGGTGTGAACATCCAGCTGGGGGGTTCCAGGCTCAGGATGTCACAAACAGCACACCCCAGGGTGCTCCAGGGCCCAGGGGAGGGATTGGTGTCTGGGTGAGACCCCAAAGAAACACCACGTATCTGACTAGCACACACTAACATGGCCACTCAGCTACCCTCTGTCAATACCCAAGGCCCTCCTCCTGGCCGTGCGGACACCTGCTGGAACCGTCTAGATGTCCCCGCAGCCCAGGATCCAAAGAGTAAATGTGTGGCCCTACATCAGAGGGCTTCTGGTTTAGGGCCCTACATCAGCCCTTCTGGCTGGCCAGTGGCCATGCTGTCTGGTTATCAATGAATATCTGAGAGGGATGCCTGGGTCTTGCATGATGGGGTCTACTGGACAGAAAGGAGTAGGCAGCTCCAAGCCACCTTCCATGAGGAAGGGGTGGGATGGGAGGTGCTCCTGGGAGGTGACGTCATGTTTGTGCAAAAGGAAGCAGAGATAGAAGTTTGCATAAAGAAATGAGGCCAGTTGGTGCTAAAAGGCAAAACTCACACTC